AGGGGCTGGGGATGTGGCTCAGCAGTAGAGCCCTTGCCTGGCGTTTGAGAGGCACCAGGTTCCATCCTCAGCACCATATAGTACAATCAATTCATTATGTCCACCTAGAACTAAAAATATTTTAAAAAGAAGTAACCTTCAACTGGGTGTAGCGGTGCAGGTCTGCAACCCTAGCTACTTGGAGGCAGAGGCAGGAGGATTACAAGTTTGAGGCCAGCCTGGGCAACACAGGAAGACCCTATCTCAAAATACAGTAAAAATGGCCAGGAGTGTGGCTCTGTGGTAGAGCTTGCCTGGCATGTCTAGACCCTAGGTTGGATCACAAAACAAACAACAAACAAAAAACCAACCTTCAGAGGCTTCTGGAATCGGAGACCGTGTGGTCAGTGCATCTTCCCACTGGACCTGTGTGTCCACAGTCTCGACAGATGGCCATCCAGCACCAGAAGCCCTGAGGCTAGTGGGGCCACCAAGTGCACGACTGAACAGTCTACTGGCCGTCCTGGGAGGTAGGCTCGGCGGCAGGAGAAGCTGAAAGAGCGTCCCTTCCTCTCACGCTGTTTATTTCTTTTTAAGGGACGAGACAGTTCACGTGGAGCCCCCCCATGCTTGTGCAGAGCTCACTGTGGCTTGCATGCTGGCACTGCGTGGCCAAGCAGCACAGCTGAGCAAGGGTAGACTGCAGGTCAGACTGGGCGGCCCTGCAGCTGGGCTGTGCCGCTCTGAGGCACGGCATGGTGTACCCTGACAATGCTGCCTTCACAAGCCCGATGGCAGACACAGCTCGACAGCTCGTAGAAATGCCTGCAATAGCCAGCTACAAACTCAGCACTGAGCTGAAACCAGAACAGAACAGAACCTAGAAAGCAAATAAAAGGATGAATGAGTCCTCTCTGAAAACTTCTCAACAGCCTGAGGCAAACCAGAGACCTTGGAAGGGCTGGGGTGTGGCTGGTGGAGAGGGCTTTCTTAGCATGGGTGAGGCCCACATATAAATAAGTGAATAAAATAAAGATCCATCCACAACTAAAAAAAAAAAAGATCTGGCAAGACAGCATCTGAGACTGGGCGGGCACTGGCCTCTCAACATCCTCCTGGCCCTCGCGGCCCCACGTGGCATCCAGGGCCCACAAGGAGCACCCTGGCCAGCAGCCTGCCTGGGGAGCTGTCACCTCACTGCAGCAGCCCTCCGGGGCAGGGCTCCAACACCATCTTGGGGAGAAAATAGAGTGCAAACCCTCAGCCACTGGAACATGAGTAAGTAAGTGCAGAGGGCCAAGGAGAGACATGGCCTGCGTCCCCGCCAGTCCTCTTCAATCTCAGACACTCCAGGTCTAAAATACCAATAATCAAATACACAAAGATATGAACACTCAGCATAAACAACCTTAAAAAAAAACAACCCAAAGACAAATGCTATTTATTTGTTTATCAAGACTACAAATAGCACTTAAACACTTAATTTATTATTCAAATTAAGAAATTATACATTTTGTTTTGATAACGGTCATTGTCTTAAAAGTGTCGTTCTGTTTTCCCATTTAGAAGCGTATTGCTAATTCTGGTCTATTGACTTCAATGGCCGACAGGCCTCCAGCGGAGGGGATGCGGGAGCACAGGGACTGGATCTGCAGCACTCCCCAGCACCGCTGCTGAGGAGACAGAGGTCCTGATAAAGTGCCTTCGTGAGACTCCCCCTCCCCACACACGCCAGGAACAGCCCGTCTCCATGTCAGAGCAGCAGCCGGAAGCACGGGAGTGAGGTACCCCAAGACGCCCTGGGTGACGGGCACTGCAGCCGGACTGAGGAGGGCGCGTGTTCATGGAGAGACGCAGCCCGCCACTTTGGTTCAAATGACTTTAATAGAAGCTGCAGGGCCTCCACGCCCCCAGCCACCACTCACTGCAGGCCACACGCGTGCGGTGGTATGTGGACCCTCCTTGGCCTCCCCCGGAAGCTCTCCAGGCAGCACGTGGAGACAGACAGACAGAATGCATGACCACCTCACACCCCACAGCAATACCCAAGCCATCATGATGCAGGTCAGCGCTACACTGAGAACAAGCATGCCGGTCCCACCTGGGAGAAGTGGGGAGAGAAGCACAAGTACACTACCACCACCTACTGTCCAACCTAACCATGGGGAGGCAGCAGGAAGTGCCTTTAGTTTTAACAATAGGCTGTAAACAATCAACCACAGGAGAAGCAGTGGCCCCAGAGGGCGGCGCCTTGGCCCCTCAGTCGACCGTGGGTTGCCCCACAGGAGGTGGCAGCCGCGGCTCAGAAGGAGTCTAACAAGGTCAGCAAAGCCAAAGCTTCATCTTTGGTTAATTTCACTGAGTTGCCACTAGTCTAAAAACTGTGCTCTTCTTGGCAAAGTTACTACATCAGCCACCCGGCACAAAACAATTGTTAAGCAATGTCCATCTAAATAAGTGACCATGTTGTAATAAAAATCATCTAAAAAATGAGGGAGGGAGGAATGCCAGGAGGAGGGAGGAGCCTGGAGAGCCGGGGTCCAGCCGGAGCACTCTCTGGGCCTGGGGAGGTGCTGGCTGCTCTGGGAGGGTCGGGTCCAGCTCAGCTCAGCTCAGCTCAGTTCAGCTCAAAGCCAGCAGCACACTCGATGGCATAGAGCAGCTTGCTTCGCAGAAGGGTCTCATCGTAAAACTCTGGGAGCTTCAGTAGGTTCATGCAGGTGCTGGCTGTGGGGAGCCGCTCGAGGTCAGAGCCTCCGTTGTGAATGCAAAAGGCCGGGTACAGCTCCTGGAAGACAGCAAGGCACAGGACACACCTTACCCACACAGTCCTGCAGAAGCACGCACGCGAGCGCACACAAGGACACCCACACCACAAGGAAGGGCCGAGGAGGACCTGCTCGGCATCAGCCCAGTGCTGTGCCCTGTGCTCGAGGGGCAGGTGCACGCGGGCTTACTGGAGGCCACCTCTCCAGGGAGCAGGGTTCCCGCAGGCTCTGCCGTTGGACCTTTAGAGATGTGCTCAATGTGTGGAAGGTGCAAAGGTCAAGAGCTGACTTAGGGCAGGGTGGGGTGGCCATCAGCTGATGCAAAGGTCAAGTGCTGTCTGTGTCACTGAAGGGCCATGCAGACAGCCATGGACAAGCCTGATCCAAGTGAGAGGAAGAAGGGAAGGAACCCGCTGACACTGGGGAAATTAAACAGAACCCTCTACCTAATCCCTGGTCCAAGCACAGGAATAAAGGTCATCACTGGGAAAAGAGACCAAATAGAAAACCAAAGGAACTCGGGAACAGGGTGCACACCTACGATCCCAGTGGCCTGGGAGGCTGAGGCAGCAGGATTACAAGTGCAAAGCCACCCTCAGCAACTTAGCAAGACCCTATCTCTAAATAAAATAATTATGACTCAGTGGTTAAGCATCCCTGGGCTCAATCTCTGGTAACCAAAACAAAACAAAACTTACAAGTCTACATCCATTTTTTTTTTTTTTGGTAGTGCAGAAATGAAACTCAGGGGCTCAAACATGCTGAGTAAAACACGGCAGCCCCACACCAACTCGCCAGCCTAAGTCGGAGCCGGATAGACTGAATTTGAACACGCTTTCTCTATTCCTGACCAATGGGCAGCAATAAGCAGGATGGTCTCAGACCCTGCCCCGCCCCCCCGATGGACCTGCCTTGGAATCTTTGTCACTGCCAAAGGAGAATCCACATTTAGAATGTGCAGGGACCACTACTGTTTTATGAGATACACAAAGAAGCCACCAGTACCCTCACTAATGACAAGGCGAAACAGAGGGGACCCAGAAGATGAGAGGAGATTAAAGAGACACACTGTGCGGACACGGCCTGCTGGCACCGAGCGGCGAGAGGAGCGTGGGCATCTTCTGGATACTGACGGTGCTAAGGAACTTTTATCTTTTAGATGTGGTAAGGCACTCTACAGTTAGGAGAAAGTGTGCCCTCACTCCCAAAAGCCTGTGGTTTCTTACACAGTGGGAAGTCCTGGTGACCCTCCCCAACCAGTTTCTCATTCTTTCTTTTTTTCTTTTTTTTTTTTTTGGTACTGGGGATTGGAGTCAGGGGCACTCGACCACTGAGCCACATCCCCAGCCCTATTTTGTATTTTCTATAGACAGGGTCTCACTGAGTTGCTTAGCACATCGCCACTGCTGAGGCTGGCTTTGAACTTGCGATCTCCCTGTCTCTATCTCCCAAGCCTGTAGGATTATAGGTGTGAGCCACCGTGTCCTGCTACTCTCATTCTTTCTTGAGGGTGCATATAAGTAGCATTATTTATTAATGGGTATGGGGGCTGTTTCAACGATTTACAAATAATTATGTGATTAATAATTATGTTCTGAAGTCTACAACTGTCCATGTGTAACTGCGGGCTAAGTACCCACACATCATGCCCGGCTAAGTGCAGACCTACTGTGAGAGATCTAAGGAGAAGTGGTCCCTTGGACACTAATAACCAGTGACTATGTCCTGCTCTTGAGCACAGACAGCGTCAGGTCACAGCCTGGTGTTCCCACCCAACAGAGGGACGCCCGAGCACGGCCTGCCCTGGCCTGCTGGCTGCAGAGGCTGGCGGTCCATCTGGTTTGGCCCCTCACCGCAGGCATGCAGATCAGGTCCGGGAAGCCAAGAGTTACCAGCCCGAGGGGCGCCCCCAATGCCCTTGTGGGAGGGGAGAGGGCAGGCTTCACTTAGTAGCCCAGGACAGGAGGTCAGGACCGAACCCAAGAACCATGACCTGAGGGTATGCGCATGCCACACACACCTCTTGGGAGCTGTACCCCAGCCCAAGGTTACACAGGGTGGAAAAGCCTGCCCACAAGCCGATCACGGGGATACACACAGGATGTACACATGGCACTCATGACATGAGAGACACTGATCCCCCCCAACCACTCGAGTAGAGAAGGGAAAGCAGAATTGGAGCAGAGTTCCTATCCTGATGGGATTTCTGGGAGCAGCTGTCCATAGTCCCACATTGCTGCCGGCCAGAGCTTCTTACCCTCTGCCTTGCAGTCCTCTCTACTGTTAATAACCTCCACAGGAAACGCATGTGGGGCCAGGCGTGGTGGGTCAGCCTGGAATCCCAGCAACAAGAGGCTGAGGCAGGAGGGTTCCAAGTTCAAAGCCAGCCCCAGCAACTTAGCAAGGCCCTGTCTCAAAATGAAAAAGTAGAAGGGGACGTGGCTCGGTGGGGACGCGCTCCTGGGTTCAATACCCAGTGCCCACCCCTAAAAGTACACAGATCGTGTGCGTGCGCAGACACAGACACACACACACAGAGCATATAGTATTTGCTAAAAACCACTGTTTCTCTAATTGTAGTTTATATGCTACTTTTAAATTGCTCATGAAAATGTTAGAACAGGAACCAAAGGACAACTAGAAATTACATTTAATTTACCACTCACCATTTTGAATATTCAGGGCAACTACTCTCTCAAGTGCTTGAAGAAACTAAAATAAAATCATCCTGTTTTTGAGGCAGAAAAGGATCTCTGGTGACAGAGGTGGTGAGTGCTGGCAAAGCCTCTGAGTAAGTGGGAAGCTCTCAGTGAATTCTGCAGTGAAATGCCACCCTGTAGGGTTTCCTTCCTAATGCTAATTGAATTTTCTACTTGCAGCCTAAAAGGTAAAAAAATGAAGTTCTTCATTGAAATCCAAGTCGAGGGCACCATTCTGTGTATAATTAAACATAGCACGACGGGAATCTGCATTAATCCAGAGTGAGAAAATCATCCATTTATTATGTGGTCTGATGGTAACTCAGTGCTTTGGTACAGCACTTTAATGATTTTTTTGGTCTGTAACAACCACATTTATTAAACACATTAAACTTTAATTAGCTTTAGCAGATGTTATTCTTCTGCAATAATCTGGAACTGAAACTGAGGGTTTTGTCACTTTTAGCGAGTCCTGCCTCTGCAGCCTGCAGGATGACAGCCCCTCCAGCCTGCAGGGTGCTGGCAGCCTCCTAGGGGCATGCTGAGCCACGTCACAGGACAGCTGCACAAACACTTAGCGTGGAGAACTCTAAGTTTTGTGTGCAGCACGTAAGACAAAGTCCAGAACAGGAAGACCATCTCCTAGCACAGTGCAGCGTACCTTCCTGGCCTAGCAACTCAGTCATGCCTGCGCAGGGCCCTGTCAGGGAGACAAGTTCTCACCACCGTTTGTTTGGGATTTTAAAAGGTAATGAACCAAAGCCAGGCACAGGAACGCGTGTCTGTATTCCCAGCGATTTGGAAGGCTGAGGCAGGACAATCAAAACTTAAAGGCCAGCTTCAGCAACTTAGCAAGACCCAGCCTCAAAATAAAAAATAAAAGGGATGATGGAGATGTGATTCGGTGGTCAAGTGCCGCTGGTTTAAATCCCCAGAATTAAAAAAAAAAGAAAGAAAGAAAAGAAAAGAAAAGCAGGGTGTGGTGGTGCACGCCTGTAATTCCAGTGGCTGGGGAGGCCGAGGGAGGAGGATCGGGAGTTCAAAGCCAGCATAAGCAACTTAGTGAAAATTAAATACAAAAGAAAAAAGAAAAAAAAGGGCCGGGGATGTGGCTCAGTGGTGAAGCATCCTGGGTTCAGTACCCAGCACCAAAAAGAAGCTAAGGAACATGCCCTCCCCAATGTCTATGACCCCTGTGCAGGAGATGGTCTGGAGGTCTCTGCGTGCCAAGGCAGGCTGGCATTCTCTTGCACTCTCCCAGGCGGGCTCCCCCATGCCCACTGGTTGGCACTGACTGCTCGACAGGAGAGCATCCCTGGCCCCACTCTCTTTGCAGGAGAACAGGACCCCACCTAGGCTCTTCCTGGAGAGTCGCGACCTCGAGGTTGGCACTGTTTTGAAAGGAAGATCCCAGAAGACCTGTCTCTCAGGGCAAGTGTTACTGGTAAAATCACCTAGTGGCATCGAACTCTCAAGCTGCATTTGGGTGACGTGGCACACGCCTGTAACTGCCCAATTCTGGAGGCTTGAGCCTAAGTAACACCATCTACTTGGAGACTTTGCCAGCACTCGCCATCCCTGCCATCAGAGATCCTTTCTGTCTCAAAAAGGTAATGCTTTCATTTTAGTTTCTTCAAGTACTTGAGAGAATAGTGTCTTGTGTCCTCAGAATAATGCTGAGTGTTGAATTATTAATGTTATTTCTAGTTCTCCTTTGGTCCCTGTCCTAACATAAGATCAACGCCAGCCTGGGCAACGTGGTGAGACCCTGTCACAAAATAAAACAATGCTCGATGCGGCTCAGTAGCTAATGCCCTGGGCTCGATCCTCAGTACCAACAACAGAACAGCAGAAAAACACACTTAAGTGGCAAGACTATTTTGGGTGCTGCACATGGCGCTTGCACTCTTTCACCTGCCGATGCCCTGGGGGCAGGCAGGCAGTGCTCCCTGCCACGAGGGCCACTCTCCACCCATGGGAGGAAGAGCCAGCCAGGAGCATCCCCCGGTGCAGTGCCGCTTGCACACTCAGGACCACACACTTTTTGTGGTACAGAGACTGAACCCAGGGCACTTTACCATTGAGCATCATTCCCAACCCTTCTTATTTTTTTCTGAGACAGGGTCTTGCTAAGTTACCCAGGCTGGCCTGAATCTTGCACCCTTCTGCCTCAGCCTCCTGTATTTATTTATTTTTTGGTACCAGGGATTGAACCCAGGGGTGTTTAACAACTGAGACACATCCCCCCTTTTTTATACTTTATTTAGAGACAGAGTCTCACTAAGTCGATTAGGGCCTTACTGCATTGCTGAGGCTGGCCTTGAACTTGTGATCCTCCTGTCTCAGCCTCATCAATTCAGTGAGGCACTCTGCCACCATATCCAGCTCCTGCAAGCAATTTCAATTGCTAAAAATAATAATCCAAGTTATATGAGATCAACATTAATACCCAGAGGTAGAGCTAGGCAACACGAGGTACACGGCTGCGAGGGTCAGGACGTTTTCTTCCAGTCATGCTAAGAACTGCCCCAGACCCCGAAGATCCACGAGGCTCCTGCTTGTCCACACAGCTACTCCAGCTGGATGCAGGGTCATCCCTGGGCCACTCCAGCACAACGTGTGCTGCCATGGCAGCAGGCTGGTGCTGGGCGCATTCCAGGCCGGGGAACTCGGCGCAGAGCAATGCATGCAGGTTGTGTACCTTGAACCCCAGGAGAGGGGGTCGGGAACAGCTCGTCACAAACTTGAGCAGCTTGCGCTTCTCTTCATCAGTGAAACCTTCTACGACTCTCCAGAAGATTTTAATGACAGGGTGATCGGCAGAATAGCCTCCTACAATAAAACGGACAGACATCTGATTGAAAGTAAAACACACAGGGCTGGGGCGGGGCTCAGTGGCAGAGCACTTGCCTACCCTGTGAGAGGCACTGCCCACATGACTGAGTCTGCTCAACCCTTAACACCACATGAAAACAAATACATAACACATGCAAAAGCAGGGTGCTCTTTCTTGCTCTCTGTGGCACTGGGCTGAACCCAGGGCCCCGTGCTTGTTGGGCACATGCTCTGCCACAGAGCCACACCCCAGCCTTTTTTACTGTTTCTGTGGAGACAGTGTCTCACTGAAGCGCCCAGGCTGGCCTGGGACTTGGGATCCTCCTGCCTCATCCCCGGGAGGGGCTAGGAATAGAGGGTGTGCTGCTGTGTCTGGCCAGCAGGGTCCGTGGGATGCTCTGAAGCCCTGAGGTCAGCAATCAGAGGGAACTGCAGGTTCCACCAGGCCTGTCTTGAAAGCTAATCCTAAAAAAAAATCTGCCCCTAACCCCAGAGACGGTGGGCAAAGCATGAGGGACCAAGTGTCAGAGGGCCGAGGCAGACAAGAACAGAACAGGGAACAGGCAGGTGGTTGGTCACTGGTGGCACGAGGCTCTGCTTTCTAGGAACTCTGCTGGTCAGAAACCAACACCCTGCTGAGCAAACCAGAACGTGCAGGGCTTCACATGTGGTCAGCGCACCCAAACACGGTGGACCCTGGGTACTGGCCATGCCTAACAACCAACCTCACATGTGAGCAGGAGACTATTGTAAATGTTGGGTCTGCTACTTACAACTTTTAATCTCCTTAAGTGCTTCCTAAAACTAAGATAATTGCTCTAGTTGTTCCCTTATTGTTAATACACTACAGAAATAACATCAATAAGACATCTTAAGTGCATCAATTGGCACCAAATGAATATGGTAATTCTTTAACCCTATTTACTGGAACAGTCAAGATCATTCAAGGTGGAAGGTTTCAGTGAGAGCGGGTCATTCAAACCACCCAAGACAAATTCTTGGCAAAGAAAGGTCAGATGGATTTCACTTTCTTAAGCTTATGACCCGAGAGTGAGGACAATGTGATCCTGGTGCTATTTGCCTTCTCATAAAATCTGAGCTCAAATTTAGAGCAAACAGGTTAACTACAGAACACACACACACACACACACACACACACACACACGTGATATTGAACATATTTAGAATTTTAAAACTGTGCAACAAAATCCGGCTTTGAATATTTCTATGTCCTCAAAAAGATTCTAATCCAAAGACAACCATGAACCTACTGTATGGGTAAACATACGTTTAGGTGTTTCATATACAAACAGCATTCAGCAGAACACAGGGAGCTGGGTAGAATTTGTTGTTGTTGTTATGGTGGTAAAATACATAAAATTCACCATTTAAACTACCCCACCCAATCCCACACTGGGGATTGAACCCAGAGCCCTTTACAACCCCTTTTGTTGATTTATGAGACAGGGTCTGTCTGAGGCTGGTCTTGAACTTGGGATCTTCCTCCCCAGCCTCCCCAATCACTGGGATTACAGGAATACATGACTCCATCTGTATATCTTGATGGTTTCTTTTGAAACACAAAATATTTTAACTCAGAGGAAGAAGGAGGTATCGATTTCCTTTTCTGGATCACATGTTGGTGTCACAACTACAATCCGACTGCTCTAAAGCCATGAAGCCCCTGCCGCATGCTCTTCACAGATTCTGGAGCCCTAGCGCTTACCTATCCTGAGTTCACCTTTGGGTGTATGTGACATAAGGTTCTAAGTGCAGTCATTCTCAGATGGGTACCGTCCCAGTACCTGCCGAATCGTCCTGGGTCCTCCTGAAACACCAGCTGATCACAGCTGCAAGGACTTGTTTCTGATTCCAAACTGGGTTCCGCTGAAGGCGCGTCTGTGCCTGGGCCAAGACCACGCTGCCAGACCACAGTGGCTTGGTACTGAGTTCTGAATCAGGACTAGGTCTTTCAATCTTCTTCTACCAAATTACTTTGGCTAACCTTGATCCTTTTTAATTTTTAAAAATATTTTTTAATATATATATTTTTTAGTTGTAGATGAACACAATACCTTTGTTTATTTTTATGAGGTGCCGGGGATCAAACCCAGTGCCTCACACATGCTATGCGAGCGCTCTACCACTGAGCC